AAAAAGAGAGAAATGCACTCATCCGAAAGAAACCAAGGGCATTAATATTAGCAACGCCTCCTGGGTTCTTGTATGATACTCCCCAGGGGCATCCATCTCTCGGTCCATTCGGGCTTGCCCACATTTGTCTGCATATCGACGGCTGTCTGGCTGCTCGTTCATTCTTACCGACGGCCATATTGGCCACTGAATTGATCGAGCTGCAACTGTCCAGGTAACACTTGTTCAAACCGTCATCTAACCTGCAGTCCACTCCTGTGCAAACGTTACTCTTCTGCGCCTGGGCCTGTGGAACTTGGGCTAAGGCTGGAGCTTGGTTCGGAACGGGAACTGGATCCCTACTTGGTGGTAGTCTGCGGACGGAACTGGAACTCGTTGTTTGTAGGATGGAACGCCTGGAAGTGTCGAGCCAGCGGCGGAACGCGACGATGGGAACTGCTGGAGTTGCTGGGCTTGCGCTGTGTGCTTGGAGTTGTGGGGAATCGATCCTGGTGGATGGACTGAAACTTGGTCGAACTCACTCCTGTGCGACTGAGATCGGGGCTCATCGCAGACTGTTGCTGTGGAAGCTGGGCTGCGGTCACGGTCTGTGGATCCTGAGCCGTGGAAGCTTACGAAACTGATGGTACTGTTGGAAGAACTGCTTCTTCAGACCTTGGAACTTGTTAATCGCCCACTCGGGCCTGGGGATCTTGTCTCGGATTTGCAATCCGGCAACTTTGGTTGGGATTGCCACAGCAGTAGCAGGACTCGCCTCGCTTATTCTGTGATAGAGGACAACGGCATGTGACACCAAACTCCTTCTTGGTTGGGTCAATCGTCTCGGGCTGGCCAGAGCCCTTGGCACGGGCACTCTGGCCTCATACCACCCTTGCTGGGCTTGAATCGATCAGAGTTGAGGGTCCACGGAGAGCTTCAAGGCCGTGGGATAATTACTCGTCCATCCATGGCATAGGACCCTCCACGGTAGCCTGATAGTCGCAATACCGTCCTGGGAATAACCTCTGTAGCCAATGAGAGAATGATCTCGTTGCGCCGTCATTAGGTATCCTTTCACCTTGTCTTGGTCATCCTTGATCTTTTCGTACTCGGGCTGCTTCAAAGGAAACAATCCATGTATCCTGTGCCAACGATGTCAGTAATCTGAACCGAGTCGGCAGCCATCTACGGAGAAAGACATCAGTCGGTTCTCCTTCCTCTTGCTTGGGGGAAAGGGCACGCTGTACTGGCTGACGAACTGGACAACGGGATGCTCTCTGGTGGTGCCTGCGGCAGTCAGTCCTCGGATCTTGCCTAGGACTTTAATGGGATCTAGTTTGATCTGCTCCAGTCATGGAGATTTCGTAGCTTACTCTTCATCTGTTCGGTACAATAAAACTGGTAGATGCTGGCTGCCCCATTCTGCAGGGCATTCTTGTACTCAGTTTCCTGCTTCTGCCAGTAGATAACTTATTCTTGTAGAGAGTTAGCTTGAGCTCGTCATATATCTTTTGCCGTCAGCATCCGTAGTTAGGACGGTTCCGTTGGCTTTGTCGGCGTCTGGTCTTGCATAGTCTCAATGCCAGTGACGCTTTGGGAACGTCTATCCACTCTGACCTGGTTCTGAAAGTAGCCACAATGTGGTTCAATGTCTCTGTAAACTGGATAAAATCTGGAGTCAACCTGTCCATTGGGATGGAACAGGTATTGCGGCGGTGCTTTTCTCTGCCTCTACCGCCACACTGCACCGCCTCTACCGGCGCCTTGGCCTTTGCCGGAGGGCCTCTGCTCCTCCTCTGTTGCCACGGCCTCCTCTGTTGTTGAATCGTGTCATCTTGCTCTTGATATGGTCTATTTGCCTTGAGGAATTACTGGCTGCGTGGACTTGTACTGGATACGGTGTACTTGATGTTGGGACGCCTGGTGGAGCTGGAGGGGGTTCTCTTATTTTCCTATTGACATCAGGTAGCCTCTTGTGGGTCTATATTGTCACTCCTGTGACTGCTCCGCCTTAAACTTGGCTTGTTCCTATCTGCGTCGAAATTGTGGTTGCTCTTGTGGCACGAAAATCACACCGTTTGTCTTGGAGTGTACTACCGATTGACTCTATCGGTCGACTCGAAGCCTTCTTCTTGCTGTAGATACTTGTATTGTTGTTAGATAGACCTACTGGAGCAGTTTCATAGGCTCGAGAGTCTTCTTCCTTGAGTTTCACTGCGTCGAGTACTGTCGGGCTGTAGGAATCCCGGGGCTTCAGCACTGCTTGACTCGATCGGCGATATCTTGCTCAATTTTCGGAGTTGAGAGCTTGCACTTGTCGTGGCATAGGCGGCAATAGGTCCTCTTTCGATCTCTGTATGCGGCCGTAGCTGTATCTCTCTTGGTTCGGTCGTCGTGTTCGTTCGCCGCGATCGGCTTTTGCTCTGTAGGTGGGTACCCAAAACACGCGATCGGCGATTACTCCTTCAATTCTTGTCGTATGAGCTTGGTTCAAGCATCAATATGGACCGGCTAGCTGTGCTCTCGACGCTGATGTGCTTGGTTTGCTCTGAATCGGTCGACAAGTCGATCGGCCGATGCTCCGAGAGCTTGGAATGAGCGAAAATGTGAGGCGAATTTTCTCTGTTAGCTCTGTTGCTTTGCCTTTATAGTGAGGCTGCAGCGCACCTCTGCTCAATACCTGAGCCTGCTGTTTCTCTCAGTTCTTTCTCACTATTACAATACCAATACCATGGACAAACTCAATACAAACGCTTTCTTTTTCTTCTCAGTGTTGGGTCTAATAACACTGCAGCTACTAGTAATATCAAGGTTAATTTGTTGATTTGGGCGAGCTGAGAAGAAAAAGTGATCTTTCTGGCTGGTCGCTTTGAAGTCTGGATCTGAGAATGCCAGTTTCCTTAAATTCCTACGGTGGTGCGGTCTTTTTCTTATCCGGGTCCGCTAAATATCTAGACCGGCCAACAGTTGCCATCACGGAAGCTGTTCACATAAGAGGTATAGACACGGAAGAATCCTTTCTGAATGGAGAGAGACAACACATTGAGAAAGGCCCACTCAATAATCTTGGCAAGGAGGATCCAGACAAAGAACTGAAACACAGTAGCCCCCACAATAGCCAGAACAAGCACACTTGGAGAAGAGTTACTTCCTGCAATTGCTGAAGCCAACTCATATGTAGGGACAATGCTCCAAAAGATGATGGCATTCAAAATCAGGAGGGCAACTTCAGGAAGAATCACTTCCAGGAGGATGAAGCTCCACGACACTGCTAATTGGATGTTTGGAGGGTTCAAATCATATATTTTGTCACAGACTTGACTTCTGGATGGTAGGTTTGATCGGATGACCTTCGTGCCAGCATGAACAATGGCGTCTCTTCCAAGGGAGCTATGGGAAATCTCGATTTTCTCCTTGGACGGAGTATCCAATTCGATTTTAGTAAGAGCAAGAAAGGATTGGCGTATCTTCACAAAGTCAACGTTCGAAGGAGAAAAAATTGTAGAGGCAGTATGCAGAATTGACACAGCATCAACATCAAGGCCATGGCACCATTGAACCAATGTATCAAATCTGGAAGCCCCCACAAACTTGCCAAGCATCCAAGCAGCAGTTCGAAAGTGGTAGTCACAGGCCCAGTTGGTTGCTCTTCTCCACAATGTCCCATCATACTCTTCTGATGGATCTCTCTTTCCAATCAATAGCCATTTCAAGAGGATGCTAGTGACCATAGCAAACAACGAAGCCAGAGGAAAGAGCAGGAACCAGTGCAGAACAACATGGTAGCGCCAGATTGGTAAGATTTCATTGAGCATTGCATGGGCAAGGAAGTAGAGGGCAGAGTAATGGTAGGCTTCTGAAAACATCCAGAGAACTTTGAAGGCACCAAGGAGGGACTCATCCCACAAGTTTGCCTCGGGACTGTAGCACGACCCAGCATTGTGTGCTGGATTTCCTCTGGCAATGACACCATCTGGAACTTGAGCTCCTTCCTCCACCACAGTCAATTGCTCAACTATGCACCCAGCTCCAATAACAGCCCCAGGGCTTACCATTCCAGACACCTTGCAGTTTGGCCCAACAGTGATTGGGCGGAATATCATCCTGGGACTGTCCTCAGTCCAGGGCCTGAATTTTCTGCATCGTATGGCATGGCCAACTGATGAATTGGCCCCAACACTGACAAGATCACACTCTCGAATGAAAGCATCAATCCTGGCAGACCATGCAAGGTCGGCACCAAGCAGCCAGTAGAAGAGCCAGGCAAACTTTGTTTCCAGTAAGAATCTACCAACAAGAAGTTCCCAGACATGCATCAATCGATCAACAAACCACCACCTTAGGTAGTGCCAGGACATCAAATAGATTTCCTGGGGGCAGTACATACCAACAACAAGAACTTTGCAAAGAACCACCATGATCGAAAATGAAATGGCAAATAGGGGGAACAGGAGTGGAAGCCACAAGAAACTGGTGTTCAAACATTCCTGCTCATCAGAAATCCTGGAATTTCTTTCCAGTCTTGCTGCAAGAAGATAGCATGGCAAAATGGAAGTTACCAGCGCCAGTGTGATGGCTATGAAACCCAGAACTTGAACAGTACTCATCTCAAGTTTGCTGATCTGTGACCTGGGGCTGTTCCAATGAAAGTCAACATGCTCATCAGTCTGATTACAAGGAAAATGTTGGCCTTGTGATGAGACCAGAAACTCTTCAAGCTCTTTATGGGTTGCATAAAGTTGGGCAAAGTTTGCTGGAAGGACCATATGCAATTGTTCCTCAACCGTGTTTCTGAGCTCTGCACTCATGAGGGATGTGAGTCCATTTTCAGCCCAAGTATTGGATGTGTCAACATGTGACCCAAAGACAGACAAAATTACATTGGCATATCGGGTGGAGAAGTCTTCTGGGCCAACAGTTCCAGCAACTGAAGTTTCATGCAGCCTGGGGTCACCAGTGTTTGGCTTAGCTGGATGGTGTGCCAACCCCCACTGGTCAAACTTGGACAGCCAGTAGTCTTCATCAAGAGCAAGCTGATGTTTGCCCTCTGGTGCCAGTGGGATGTATCCAAACTTTTCTGCACAGGAGAGGTTCAGCTTCCCAAAATAATGTAGTGCTCTTCTTGACAGCATTGGTTCAATACGAAACTTGTTAGATACCAGCTTCCTTCCCATGGCCTGTGTAACCAGGTGCAGACTAATCAACCTTGCATAGAAGAAATGTGCATTGACATCTCCAATGATGCATGGCAGCAGCAATTTGGACACCATCCAGCTGGAAGAATTTCTGTCTCCGACCCCTGAAGGTAAGAATCAACAAGATATCATAACAGTGAGATTTACCATAACTTCCCAAGATGGAAGCTTTGAGAAAAGCAACTTACAGGCCACAATATGCATTTGCCAATCAATGTACAGATTATTCATAGTACTTGTATTGGATGCATGCTCTATCAAAACCTTCTCAGATTGGGTTGTGGCTGTTATCACAGGATTTGTAGCAAGTCTCCTACCAACTTCTGAATTTTCCTTGTGTCCATGTTTTTGCTCAACCCAAATAGCCTCTAACAAGTTTAAACATAGGAGGCTATTGATTCTTTCAACATGTGCATCAATGGTTGGGCCTTCAGGAGACAATTTGTTTTGTAGGGAAATGTTCAGTAGTGCCACAACTGACCTGTTCTTGATCCAAAGGAAGAATGGCAACTTCCCATACATGGGATCTTTTTCTGGGAGGTTCAGCATCTCTTGTAGCTCCACTGGAACTGTCTGATCATTCTGGCCCTGAGCCTCCCATGCAGCATCCTCTTTCAGCTTCTGTTGAATGCACTCAGGATGATCCATCATGAAGGTTGTAACCCATTGAAGCACAAAGATTTGATGCACAAGTTGAGAAAAGAAACCTGTCCTGTCATCAATCAAAATCCAGTCTGGATTCACAACAAGACTGTGAGCAAGCTGGCAGATTGTTGGGTGCTTGTCCTCAAGATGCTTCTGGATTTGAGAGCACATGGCTTGCAATGCAGCTGTTGTCTTGATGGCTCTGGACCAAGCTTCATCAATGCCTGAGACCCCAGAGACATGAAGCTCCAAGAAATACTCATCCAACTTGTTAGGATTGCACTCTACAGCATGAACAGCTTTGACAACTTTGCTGGGGAGAGCAGTTTTTTGGCTAAGGTCAATATCAGGAATCTCAAGAGGTCGAAATGGTAGTGTCATTGATTTTCTCCTGATTTCATGTTGATTTCCTTCTGGCAAATTGAATTCACTGCTTGTAATCCCGTTCATTGCAAAGCTGTGCTCAAGGAAAGAGCTCCTCTTGAAGGGTGGTGCGGTTGCCTGGATCAGAGATGGCTTTGTCTGTCGTTTGAATCTTAGGAGCACATCAGATGCCTTCCAATCACCATCAACTGTTGTCTGTCTAATCTCATTCCTCTTCAGCTTTCCTGAGGTAGTCTTTGGTGTTACACCCAACTTCAGAACAGCGACATCATAGACAAGAAGCCCATGCACCTGAGATACATGGTTGGAAATCTGGACAGCCAAATCTACATTTCCAGACTTGCTAAAACCTCTGCGGACTTCAACAGTGATCCCAACACTGTCCTCTCCATGCTGGAAGGCAGTTGTCCTGCCTGGACGAATAACATCACCAAAGAGATCATCAATAGAGAGCTCAACATCAGTTGGATAGTAGTTCTTTCCATTGATAATGATAACATCTTTACTCTCCCAGTGACAAAAAGCTGCCCATCAACAACCTTGCCCAAGTCACCAGTGTCAAGCCAGGTCCCATCATAGCCTGGTAGGATGTTCACAAAGGTAGAGGTAGTCAGCTCAGGTTGCCCATAGTAGCCTGCAGCCACACGGGGTGACTGAGCCCAGATACACCCAACCTGTCCATCCTCAACCTCTTTGCCATGCTGGACAATTCGAAGCTTGAGGGTTGGGGAGTCTACTTCTCCACAGCAGACAAGGCCCTCAGAGTCAGGGTATGCAGACCCAGCAGTGAGGAACACCACAGATTCAGCAAGTCCATAGATGTTGTATACACGCTCTGGTTTGATGGAGAGGGTCTTTGCTGCTGCTTCCACAACATGGCTCTGGGCAGGTTCCCCACCAAACATGGCACGCTTCACGCAACTCCAGTTGGCAGTCCGATTGGCCCGTTCCAAATGTTTGAGGAGCAAGGCATAGGCGAAGTTAGGGGCGCATGTGTGTGTTGCATGGTAGTGTTCGATCATATCTGTCCACAGAAGAGGTCTCGCAACAAAGTCAAGAGGTGATGCCAGGACAAGATGAAAGCCACCATAAAGACAAGACATGAACCCCGCCACAAGTCCCATGTCTGGGTTGTAATATGAAGGGTATTGTGAGAATTGAGCATATCATGATAGTATGCTCATTGCATCTTAAACGTACCATGGTATTGAGGAACCCATAAGGCTGCCACCGATGATGAAGATACATCGGTCATTTTGACAAGAGCTCTGCAATTTTCTGCTAGATTTTGGTGGCTGATCATGACTCCTTTGGGTCGTCCAGTACTGCCTGATGTGTATTGAATAAAACACACCTCCTCAGGCTCCCCATTGTAGGTCTCATAACCCTTGGGCGTGTTGGCATTGCTCTTCTTGATTGGTAGATTATCAGTTCCAATCCACTTCACTCCAGTCTTGTAGAGGACACTAGCTGCAGTCATGGCAGTAGCAAACATGTTAGTAGAGAGAGCATATTTGGCTCCGGCATCCTTGGCAAATCCACGGAACTTTGGCATATCAGTCTTGAGCTGGTTGGGATTGGGCGGATAGATGGAACAGGGGATGACTCCAATCTTCATAGCTCCAAACATGCCAGCCAAGAACTCGAGGCCGAAGGGGTATGCCACCATGACGCGATCTCCCTTTTTGCATCCCAGTTTGAGGAGACGGGCAGCAACAGCATTGGATTGGTCTTCCAGTTGTTTGAAGGTCATCTTGTTATTCTCTTCACACTTGATATCCACCCAGGTCAGGACAATCTTGTTGGGTGTTTCCAAGGCATGATGGTTGAAGGCGTGAAGGATGGTTGAGAATAACTTCATTTTGGCTTTGATAATACCAAATTTCTTGGACAGAGGGGGAAATGTGGAGACTGATGGATGGCTGTTGGCATCAAAGGGTCGTCTGTTCGAAACCGGGGTGCATGCAGCCCGAGAGAGTGCTGGTACGGCTGTCGTTGGTTCTTGTTGTTGCTTTACCTCGGCAGTCTTGCTGCCTGAGCCCTCAACCCCTTTAATTGTTTTTCCTGCTATGGTGGTCCCTGCAGGTATAAGAGTAGGGTTAGAATACAAATAAGTCAGCAAAAACTAAATAAGTATCCTAGGATGGTGCTTTTAAACCAGCTAAAGCTATTTACATGCTTCCTAGTAGGGGGATCTGCTTCTACCAGGAAAAACTCTAAAGCTAGCAAAAGCTATATAACTAGTATTCTACCTAGCTTGGGGTATCTGCGTTTAGCTTGCTTTTGGAATCTGCTTCTAGCTAGGGGATCTGCTTCTAGCTATTTAAGCGCAAGTTAAGCACTAGCTAAGCATTACAGGTATCTGCTTCTAGCTATCTAGTTAATAGGGGTATCTGCTTCTCTTTCTGCCGAGGTTACACAGCTCCGCTGGCTTAATAATGTTGTTATGTCCTTTCTTGAAACGGTTTCAAAGTAAGTCTGAACCTCGCTGCTAAACTGGTAGGAATGACATCAGAAAGTTTCTTGTTTGGGATTTCTTTCCCTGTTGTTCTTGCCGGGTGTGGGAACTGGGAACTGGGAACTTCTACTAGTGAGTACTCGGCATACGTACCATACATGCAATCCGTACGATACCTACGACACATATTATACACATGATACCCTTGAAACTCAAAACCTTAAGGTGCGTGCTTCTCGGGACCTCTTACAGCGAACTGAGATTATGAGCCTCGTTCGCCATTGACGAATTACTTAACTCCCAGATTTCCTTGGTAGAATTAGAGGGAACCGATGCTAATAGAATCTGATGTAAAGAAAGAAGAGCGAAATGAGTGTGTGGCAGGGCGTGGTACTCACACTGTTTTAGCATGTGAGTATGGGTACTGAGTAGTACTCACAATTCCAAAGTCAAGTGAGTATGGGTACTGGGTAATACTCACAATTCCCAGGGTCAAGTGAGTACGGGTATCATGTGAGTACAGGTACTTTGTGGGTACTATAGAGTACTCACTGCGTACTCATAAATCAATTACTTAGGGAAATTATCTAGGTTTTTCTAGTTCTGGGCTGGGGGCTCATTACACATCATGGCGAGGAGTTTGTCATCCTGCTTACAGCTTGAAACGCTCGCACCATAGCGTCGCAACTCACTTGGGATTCGCCGGAATAGTTTCTTGGGAATCTTATGTAGTTCCTCGACTTTGACTGTCCTCAAACCAACGCTCTCAGTGGTGGAAGGAAGGTAACTTCCATCCCCGTCATCTTTGGGTTCATCAAACTGGGGAGAGCCATCAAACTTGGTGGGGTACCAACTTGCAGTGCCATTCCACTTTTCAGTGTCATTGGTAGCTTTGCTTCGGCGAGTCTCTGGCACCCAAACCACAGTGGAGTAACAATAAGAAGCAAACACACGGTATGTACCATAGGCAGTATACTCACAAAATACTCACCGAGTACTCACCGAGTACTCACCGAGTACTCACTGGTACTCACTTCGAAGTACTCACCGAAGTACTCACCGAAGACTCAAAAAGTACTCAAAATCCGGAGTCATGTGAGTACGGGTACTGAGTAATACTCACATTTTCTGAGGTCATGTGAGTATGGGTACTGAGTATACTCAGTACTCAGTACCCGTACTCACATCGAGTACACGCAGCGTGTATTTCATGTGAGTCCCACACCCTGGTGTGTGGTCCATGGAGTGTGGCCCGAGGATGACTCCGCCTCACTGTACGTAGGCATTCTGCAATGATACTAGCTAGAGTGCTAGTAGTAGTATATTCGAAGGTTCGACGGTGCTTTTTTGTCCCATCAAGAGGTTGGCTGTGGGCTACTCATCAGCTCTTTATCCATGCTCTCCGGTTTCTAGACTGAGGACGCATTGGATTGGATTGCTTACTCTACCTACATAGTAGTACTACCATACGGTACCGTATGGGGGGTACCGTATGGGGCAGAAGAAACCTAACAAGAGAAGTGATTGCAGTACTTCAGCCAGTAATATCCGAACAAAACTTGAAGCAAGACACCCCTTCACGCTTACCGGTACGGTACCGATAACTGCTTCCACGGAGCGACCTGCGACCGTGAAGCCTCTGTTGCACTAAACCACTAGGTCATAGTAACTTCCCCGTTGAAACTAAACCACTATGAAAGCTAGCTAACCTGATAACACATCGAACTAAGGATCCAATACCCTACTGCTGCTGCTGCTATGCATAGTGCTAGTAGGAGGAGCAACTGTCAGTCAGCGAGTTGGAAGACACCAGGAAAAAGGTTCAAGGCGGTTGTCTCTGTGGGAGTGCCAAGAGCCAGGGAACCAGTGGGGATGTGGCTATACCGGTGCTATGTACCGGTATATAGCTAGTAGGTAGCAATAGCTTGGTCGCATGATCTTCGGTTCGAAAAAGATCGGACAGTGGTGTTGACGGTGCCGGTACGCACGGTAGCGATTGGATAATCTGGTGTGGTTTCGACCGCGAGCCAGTGGTACGGTACATGTAGAAATGGTACCCGGACTCAGCAATGAACCCAACGTGTATATGTAGCCTCCTTTTCAGTAAAGCATCCTCTGTCGCGACGACGACAAAGCTCCCGTCTTGTTGTTAGAGAATACAATAGAAAGTAAGCTCTCTTCTATTCAGATGCATACTTCTTGACTGCAGAAAAGAAAACCGGTGACTTACACTTGCTCTTCAAAATTGACATGACCTGCAATAACACTCTTGAAATAGGCTTGGCGCGAATCGGCCATAGGAATGCATCAATGAGGGGGGGAAGTCAGTCAGTCAGTGCTGCGCCTTCAATACATGCAGTACGGCAGAAGCAATCTGTTCGATCTTCCGACTCTTCTTTGCCCAAGCTTGGTCTTCGCTGGTGTTTTTGACTACATGTTGACTGTGGCCTGAGGCTGCGGATCCATTGTGGCCCAATAAGGAGAAGACCACATGCAGCCGTAGTACTGTAGCCCGTATTAATTTGTGTGTGTCGAACAGTGGCATATTGGCCATTGCGATACAGAAGTCAAGATCCACGCATCTCGATCTTTTATGGTTCGTACAATGGAAGCACACTTCTCCAGGTTTTGGGAACACCAACGGTGGCACGAGACGTCGGATCGGATGGATCTTTCGCGGAAACTGGTACAAAAACAACGGCGGAACCAGAACATCATCTATCTCATTAGCGATTCTATCCAAGAAAGATATAGCTATACCCATAGCCAACAAGAACAAAGCTCAAGCTAGCTAGCCAGCTATATAAGAAGAAGAAGAAGAAGCAACCATGTCGTTTGTAGCTACTTACGGGTTGACTTGGAAGTTGTATTTGTATTATGTGATGGAGGATTGGGCAGGTCGCGAACGCACTATAGGAGAGATGAAGGTTCACTTTGTCAAGGGGATTCCCGTGGCATCGAATCTGGTGTGGAATGTGGTCATGTTTGTGTGGATGCAGGCCATTCTGATTCACTGGGCCAACTTTTCTCCCGCGTTTGAACAGTTTTGTGGATTGACGGTGCTCTTGCCGTGTCTCTTGGGGAGTTTGAGTTATTACTGTTTCAAGTACGGAATCCACGCCGTTGCCACGGCACTGGTGGATGGATCCACTTTGATGGGCTGGATCCACAATTGGCTCGCCATGCAAGGTCCCACCATGGTGGCGTTGACGCATTCCAGTCTCTTTTATGTGGCGGGAATTGTCCTGCAACCTTACGTGCTACCCCCGCAATGGGACTTTTCCCTACAGTTCCCCAAGGACCTCTACGAAGAATACCTTACTCTGTGCGTCTATTGGTTTGCCGCCTTGACACTATTCTGTTTGATTACACTACCCTTATCCAAACAGGGATATCACGTCGCCATGACAGCCGCAGGTCGCCACAACATTACCATTTCCTACCTGGAAGCATTCATGGAACTCATATACCAGAGTGCCCAGGGCACTTCCATTCTCTTTACCATTATCCCTCTCGTTGTCATACTCCAAGACTACTGTCAGTTCCGTGTCTACACCCTCCACATGATCATGACGGCCATTGAAATTGCAAAGTACAATTATCCCGTCAATCACAAATTCTGTATTACCCATCAAATGATGCATGAAATACAGCCGCTCTGTCAAATGACACACATCGAACATCACGTCTGCAAGGGCATTTATCCCACATCGCCGGCAGCGGGTTTGTGGGAGAATTGGGTCTTTGGACATTCCATTTTTGTGACACAATTGGTCGGTATGGCACCCGTGCCGTATTCCTTCTTGCAGGGCATGTACATGGGAGCCAATCTCGTGGTGCATACCATGTGGCCCCATCCCAAATTACTGCAATGGCATACACTGCACCATACTATTTTGGCCGATGTCTACAGTGTCAACAATCCCAGTGATTACGACAAGGATCATTCGCAATCCGTCAAAGTGCTGCATGCCAAGTTGCAAGCCGTGTCGCCCTTTGTGCGGTACGAGTTTTTGCCCGAATTTTTGGCTACCGTGTTGGTGGTAACGTGCGGTTTGGTGATGCATTACGGATTGGGGTTGGGTCTCGGACATGTCGATTGGGCGGGACGGGTCAACTGGGAATACTATCGAGAGGATGAAATCAACACTACTTCTTCCAGTAGCTACGATGTTCTCTGGAACTCGACCATGGCATATGCACAGCGTTCCTTTTCCTGGGCCGTGTCGTCGTCGGTCTGAACGAAAAACACAAAATGCAATCAGCTGCATGCGTACTGTGAAACTTACTTGTGATGATGTTCATGTTTTTGTCCTTCTCATAATAATGCAATCCATAACTAACTACTACTACTAAGGTAGAACTCTGTGTGTACATGATAGATTACGTCAACTGATATGATTAGCCAGGTGTTTCCCACAGCCAAGAGTCTGCTCACTGGCTACACTAGCCTCCTGAGAGGGCCTGACGCCTTTTAGCTATGATCTCTGAACTATGGTTACAACGTCCACACTGGTACCATAACCCTTCAGAAACAAGGCACCATCTGATGGAATGCAGCAGCCCTGAAAGAATCAAATGGCGCGAGAAATGCTACAGTGCAGTCCTAGCATATGTCCAGAAAAAGGACACCTCTCCAAAAATCCAGGGGCTTCTCCTATCAGCCTCAAAGTATGTTTACATCACCAAAACCCAACAACAATCCAAGAAGATCCTTCATGGGACACACTGAAACAAGCACAAGATGCCATTGATGGCATCATCTGTTAAAGGGAGAATCTCTAAACAATTCAGTCAGGAACAAGACCGATATTGAACATGAAAAAGACCGCAACCAAACGCAACAATGGACTCACATGGCTCACTGGACTTATTGACATTATCTATAAAGAATGGTGGAAACTCTGGACATGCGCAACCAAGACAGACATGGCACGACATGAGAACCAAGTCACAAGCAAAAAAGCACAAGCAATCGACAACTCACTCAGTTTACGAAGCATACCAGCAAAAGTCCCTGAAAATTTGGAATGGCTATTCCAGATACCACTCGAATCGCGCATGCAACTGAATACACCAGTCATCATTCAATTTTGAACACATGGGAACCTGGTTACAAGAGAGTCACTACACCACAGCCCTGGAAACAGGATAGTCGGACATTCCTACCATCCCTTTTTCCTTACCCCTCCTACCCCCTCAAACTTCTTTACCAACCCCAACTCTCTTCAACAAAGAGCTCGTGATTTGTGGTGAATCATGGCTCTTACCTCAGTGTACAAATCCTTAGATAGCTAACAGGCGTCGCACCCTCTCAGGAGGCCAGTGTGGCCGGTGAGCAGACTTGACTGTGGGAAATACCCGAGCCCTAGCTCGTGGGTAGTCCTCAAGCACATCTCGTCTGAATCCGTTATTAGACGTTCAGTTTTTTTTTTATGGTTACAACGTCCACACTGGTACCATAGTTGGGCTCCGTAGTATCATACAGGCAACTACATCGTGCTAGCTATAGCCAGATTCCTCACCAACCGTATCTCTCCGATTTCTCTCCCCATCCACGACGATATCTAGGTATGACATAGATGGACCCATGCCATCAAAGCTCTTTCGGTAGTAGTACATGAAAGCCTGCAGTGCTGTGAATCCGGCCAAAATATTCGTCGCTTTTGGCCATTTTTGGCGAATAATCTGGCCAAAACGTGTCATCAGCTTAGCTTGAAGCTTTTGTGGATCTTTTTCTCCAGACACTGTCCAATGCAGGATCCAGGATCAGCGATGACACTTTCGTTTTTTCGACCACTCTCCATTTTCTCGTTCCTTCTAATACCAATACTGCTCTCCTCCCTCGAGATAGTCCATCTATCACCGACACGACACGACACCATGACCAAGACTGTTTCCTTGTGCACCGAGTGGACCGAGCCTGATATTTACGGTCAGGTTCATCCTGTCGAAACCCCCGCCTTGCTGGACGAGGCAATCGAGGAGTTTGACCGGCAAGTCCTCGTCTTGCTGGAAGAAGAAGAAGAAGACAACACTGCGAAAACGGTGGTCCACTTGCGGCAGGCCCAAGAGAAATGTCCTGAGTTGCTGACACGAGACTTCAAATTGATGTTTCTTCGATGCGATTGTTTTCGGGTGCCGGATGCTGTAAAGCGCTTTGCCAAGTTTTGGGACATGAAAGTCGATTTCTTTGGCAGCACTCGTGCTTGGCAGCCCATTTCCATGGACTTGCTCGAAGAACAAGACCAAGTGCCCTTGCAGCAACTAAAACTAGTGCGATTACTGCCTCAGAAAGATCCCACTGGTCGGCAAATTCTCTTTATGCAAGCCAACCGACAGCATTGGGATCAAATGACACCGTCCAGTGCCGCACGCGCCGTTGCCTATGTCGTCATGGCCGCCTTGCAAGACGACGTTGTCACGCAGTGCAAAGGACTGGTCGTCATGATGTACTTGAAGGGAGAAACATCCAGTCAATTCAATCGAAAATTCATTGCGCTCTTGCTGCAGGCCATCAAAGGGGCCATTCCCGTGCGACTCTCGGCGGCGCATCAAATTCATCCCCAAATCTTTTTGCGGCTCATTTGGCCCATGCTCAAACTCCTACTCGACAAGCGCATGATGGCACGCCTTCCCATTTTCGCGGGTGACACGGAACAAGTATTGGCAGCATTGAGCAAGTACGGATATTCCAAGAGCATGCTTCCCACCGAAATGGGTGGAGATGTCGAACTCGATGACTATTTTGATGAATGGTTGGAACAACGACGTCAAATCGAAGGAAAATAAGTATCCAAATCACATGCATGCGATCCCGAGAGAGCGTTTACACACCATGTTGGCACCATTTTGTTGGGGATAGTTGATTGATAGCTACCGGTACGTACTTAGCCCTCTTTGGCTCTAGCTATAGGCTGCCAGTAGCAAAGATACTTGTTGCGTTTTAAAAGCTCTTTTGTCGTACCGGTACCGGCATGGACGAGAACTGTGTGATGTGATGGCAGCCAACTTCATTATAATACTGAGGTTGCATGGCTGGCAATGGACACGAGCGATGTATCGAAAAGATTGCATCAACGAGAAAAGAGGACCTGACTTTTCCGGCAGAGGACTCGACTCGATTCACATTCTGCCATGTCTCACCCCACTTCAGGTTTCCGCACGTGGCCAAAACAAGAGACACCACGGTACCGTAGGCTACTATTATAGCTAGAGGCTGCAAACAGGCCTGGAGCTTGAAACGTTCGTGAAACATTATCCAAGTCATCAATCGTTGCCTTATTGTCAAATCCGTACCGAATGTGCCTGTCCTCACTCTGACATCACTACCGCTTTCCTCTCCAGGATGGTTCTCCCTGGATGGACGACACCACACGACACGATGAAAGAGTTCATCAAGCGAAAATGGGGGGCTAGAGTACACATACATACATGTAGTGCAATGGAGAGAACCAAGCAACATCAGAACTTTGGTTAGCGGTGTGTGATTTCCATGCAAACTGACGACAAACTTTTGACTGTCACTGTGATTGCCCATTGCACTATTTGGTAACGGTTGAGGGTTGGGACTCTGACTCTGACTCTACACCCATGCAATGACTGCTTCAACCCAGTCTGCCTGTGCGAAGATTTGACCACTTCCTCCCCAGCTCGGGACAATTTTCTTCCTGCGTAGCTAGACTTTCATGGCACCGATCTGTGCACTGACGTTCCTTGACTTGACGTCAAGGCCAGTAACCTCGGGCTGGAGTACTGTAGTTTGCTGGGTACCGTAGGCACACCAGCTAAGTAGGCTCTGGAGACTGATGTCCTGCAGGTTAGCCAGCTTCTACTGGCTAGCGGTAGCTCCGTTAGTGCAGTAATACTCCAGGCACGAGAGCCACAATCTAAAAAATTTGAGGGTGCCTTTGTTTGGTGGTGATCCATCAGAGGTTCCACTCGGAGATGAGCAAACTTGCTCATGGGGCCACATTGGGTTGGTTACAGTACTACATACTACATACTATTCGTACCACTAATGTTACCGGTACATTGAAATAGATAGAGCAACTGACTTTTAAATACCTCACTAACTAAAACGTCCGTTGAAAAAGCAATATTTCGCATTTTGGCGAGCAAATGAGTTCAATTGGATTGGATTGGTTTGAATTGGATTGGATTGGATTGGATTCAATTGGTTCTATGAAAGTACTGATATTTGTATAGTAAACACCAATTCATTGCAATCCAATCCAATTCAATGCAATCCAATGCAATCTAATTGAAAATATCTAACCAAAGTAAAATATTGGAGTCCTTTTCGCAGAAACTGCACTCGCAGCGTACCGTCCTATGAGATCCAGTCTACTTAACAGTAGCTAATAGAGTATGTATGTGGCACCCAAACTATCATTGCTACGGTATCGAATCGAGTACACTACAACGCTATAGCAACATTTGCCCACCCCCCTCCAGTAACCACAGATAAATAAATACTAAGTAAATAGATCCATCCAATGGGCACATGATGGCGGGTCATTCGTCAGTCAATTGGGCTTGCCGTGGGCATCCAACGGCTCTTGCGAAACCTCTTCCAACTATTCCCCGTCTATTCCCCGGCTTGGGACAATTTCAGAAAACCAATGCCTGCATATTCCCCAGCCGTGGTTGAGTCGATCCTCTCCACTGGGCATTAGAGCCTGTCCACACATTATACGCAAGCCAGGATTCCAAGTTCAAAAGTCGAAGCTCCAAGCATTTTTTCACATCAAAACCTCAACTCGTGATTGCCAGAGTCCATTTTTGGAAGCGCCTCGGCAGCCCAAAATCGAAGCTGCCAAGGCCAAAAATTGAAGGGAGAACTCAATTTGGGCATACCCCCAACCCAATCACGATTTTGAAATGAAAAATCGCATCAAGCAACAACTTTGGAAGGAATCGCCGCACCTCTCTCTTGACCACTCTCAATCCAATCTTTTCATGTGTAGTCGAAGCAAGCATCATTAGATTAATACAGTAGATTAATGTAGCATAGAGGATGCCAGTGTTAGTTTTATTACTGTCTATAGTTGTAGATAGATCGCTCGCTCAACTCCTCTTCCAGCAGCAAGCAGCAAGAGGAAGAGGGAAATCGCCATTCTGTTTTCTTTCCACCAAGATGAGCCAATCGCCTTCCTCTTCCACCAACTCTGACACTGTTTACAATGGTGAGACTGAGGACTTTCGCCGCAGTACCAGTACTCGTGGTGAGGCGCCACGGAACACTGGTCGCCCCATGAATCCACGAGCAGAGGCCCCAGCTGAACCAGTTCTTCCATCTCCTGCCACCAAGACCGTTCGCCAACTTTACACTGAAGATGAGAAGAACCACAAGGGATAGCTCTTGATGATGTGCCTTGGCTTGAAGTCGGAAGACAGTTCTCGTGATCTTGGAGATGTTGAGCAGGAGCCTTGGTCACTTTTGAAGAAAAAGCAGATCGGAAACTTCAAGGTGAAAAGCACAAGATGGTGGCTGAAGTGAATCGCCACTGTGTTATCTCAGGGAAGAAGGAACAACCAAACAACTGGAATGTCTCTCGCTTGAAGAAATGGCTGACTGACAATCCAATCGTAAAGGAAGAAGATGTCAAGTTTCTTCAAAGTGAAGAGAACGCTATCCACGCTGCCGCTCGCAGCATGGTCCAGCAACAAGGATCAGGAACCGGAGATGGTGAAAAGAAATCCAAGCAACAGCCATTCGAACATCGAGACTTCTTGCGCATGTTCGCTGCAGCCTGTACCGACAAAGTTAAGAAGGCTTTGAAACTTGCTGGTACTGTCATGGATCGACAGCGTTTAGATGTTCGCAACCGGCATGATGCGCCAGACAATTTCTACGAAGAGTTGCATTCTGTGTACCACGATGATGTATTTGCTGCGGAGATACCCTCAATGCCAGATCTCCACGAGGACTTTCTTGTTGAGGATTTGATCCTTGCTTCTGAAGTTACTCCTTGCTCTGTGGAATACATCAAGTCGAAATGGACTTTCCGCAAGTCAAAGCTGTCTTCGTTGGTTGCTCGCTATGAGAAGAGTGGAGCAGGGGAAGGTCAGATCCATCATGATGTGGAGGAACTGCTTCAAGACGAAGAAGATGAAAGCTCCAGTCACGATGATGAAGGAGAGGCTTCCGGCAAAGAACCAGAAAAGATGCCATCCAAAAAGCTTGTGGTAGCGACCTATTAAGCCATTATCTCCAGGCTGGAGAGGACAAAGCTACCTATGTTCACGAATCCAAGGGAGAAAAGACTTACTTGCTTTATCTGTGGCATCTGGCAGATCAGTATCAGATTCTCGATCATGTTGTCAGTCAAGCTTCTGACTCCGTTGCTGCTACAGGAGAAGCTGTCAAGACTGACACATCTAAGGTACAGCGAAAGAGGAAGAGTGATAATGAAGAGGAAGTGTCCAATGTTCGACAAGCGGTTATTGCAGGGAACGTGGCACTCAGGGGTGTAAAATACTCATTAGTTTAGCAAACTATGGCCACGGGGTGGCTTTTATGACGCGGGGCAAGTGATGGGGAAGCCCCCACCTAGCTGAGTCGTCATCTACTTATTTGCCCAATCAACATGACCTCATCCACTGGCCCAACGTGGAGCCAGCACCAAGTAGACAGATGCCCTGGGTAGGGGGGTGAGCACATTGATAGGGAACCTGCAGCGCAAAACCTGGGTTACAGGGGCTTACACAGGATTTTTGTCGGTATTGAAACCATTATCACCAAAGGGACCGTGAGGACCAGTTAGATTGCCAGACCAAAGAGTGCTCGCCAGTAAGTGTGTCTGGGTGATCAGGTCCCAAGCTGTGGCAAGGGCCTTGGCATGCAAGGCAAGATGCCAGCAGAGCCCGTAGGAGGTGGTACTCCTCAGGCTGGACCAGAGCAGGGTGTAACCCATCCAATGCACAAAAATTGTTAGATAGAGGCCAACAAGCAGGCAGAAGATGGGGTCAAATGACACACTGGCAGTGTGTGGTTCCCAGGAGGGAGGCACAGTGGCTGCTGGAGTGTTGTGGGCTGTTCGAGGGGTTGTTGAGTCAATAGAAGGAGGATAAGGGGGCACTGGGAGTGGGCTGGTGCCAGGGGCAGGAGGGGAGATCCTGTTGGGGTTGGAGTGTTGTTGTAGGATTTTGGAATGTAGCATGGTGATGGTGTTGTTGTAGGATAGAGGCGTGCCTGTGTTCAAGGGTGAGAACAAAGGCATCCTCCCTGATAGGGTAGGGTGTGATTCGGAAGGGTGTGATCCTCAAGATGGCTGCATGCTCCAGGAGCTGTTGGCTGATCATCTGGGAGTGGTGTTGTGTGTCTGCGGAGGATGGTGGATTTGGTTGGTTGGGTGAAGTGTGGGAGTGGGGGAATGTTGGAGGACCTGGGTTTGAGTGGAGTTGTGGGTAGACATGGGGAAGTCATGGTGGTGGTAGGTGGTATTGGTGGGAGAGTTGTGATCCTGGAGTATTGACTGTAGTGTCGTTGCTTCAACGCAAGCAATGGAGGTTGCTTGTGAGGTGGCGAGATGATTGATGTAGAAGGTGTATTCAAGGGGCAATGCACTGAGGCACTGGTAATCAAGGTTTATATCAAATTGTTGGGTTGTTGTTGCCACTGGATCAAAGGTGTGGCCAAGTCTGGTGCAGGTATACCAACTACCTGCAGGAGAAGATGGTATCAGAGCCAAGGCTGTTAGGGATTCTTTCAGGGAAAACTGGAGAGTCACGCTATAGCCAGTAAGGGAGTGGTGGGGGAATCAAGTGTTGTTGGTTGATGGGGCTGTGTTACTGGATGACACTGTGTTGTCTCAAGGCTGGTACTCATCTGTTGTAGTGACCGATGCTATCAATGCAACAGAGAGTCAAGCCAAGATGTGGAGAGGGTATCGATTCAGGTGGAACTGTGGAAAGTCACTGGAGAGTCACTCAACAATCAATGAGAGAGAGATAGAGTCAGTTATGTATTAATATCTATGCCACACCGCGCTGCAGTTCTGTCTGGGGCTCAATCCTTTGGAGCACACACTCAGTAGGAGAGTCAGGTGCAGTAGCAGAGAGGTGGCTGTGTCAATGAAGTGTTGCACAATCTAGCCAAACACGCTAGAGGGCAGCTTTTGTAGTTGTTTCTTGGGGGGGGGTAGGATCCTTGGAGAGGAGTGGATATCCCAGGGAGGGGCTGTCAAAACTCACAAAATGCAGCCAAGCCTGGAAATATGTCTTGTTCAGGGTGGAGACTGTGCTCAGTGGACCCAAAGTACAAGCTGAGACAGTATCCAACTGGTGGCAACTCAATTCCTTACAGGAACTCTGTTGTTTGTTGTTCCTCTGGGAGAGGAGTTAGATATCAATGTATGAGTGGTAACAGTAGCAGGTGTCGATCAGTCAATCAGTCTGTATAGGGATAGGACTGGTTGGATCAGTAGGATCAGTTCCAACAAGGACGTCGGGAGAAACCACTAGTGGCCGGTGAGAAAGTAAGAATACAGGTGTAATTCTCTTCTCGGTGGTCACTGCAGGTATCTCGTGAAGTCCTTCTTGATGATAGGAGGTTGAGTACGGAGGAAGAGGTACAGAGGAAGAGGTACGGTCGCGGGAAGTCGATTCACGGAGTAGCGAGTCTTGGATCGATTCGATTCAGAGATCGATTCGATTCGCGATTCGATTCGAATCAACGTCACCGGTTGCCTTAGGGTTAAGGTTAACCGAGCCTGTTGTTGTGGAGGAAAAAGATCGATCGTTCGAAAAGAGGAGCGACAATGGGATTTCGTCGGTCGTCAGGAGCTTAGTTCAGAAAACAACGGATACGTATGGGAATTGTTTTCTGTACTGTGCTGTGGAAGACCGGAGACTTCTTCTTGTGGTCAAATTCTTCCAACTTGGCCGTCGGCGGTCGAGAATAGAAAACCCGCCCGATCTCGTAGGATTTCAATTGGGATGGCTTTCTAATCTGGACCGGAGAACGCCGCGTTGATAGTCGCTTGATAGAGGAGGTGCGCTTGATAGGAGATAGGAGGTATCGATCCTTTTCGGCTTGAAAAGGTTGTAAAGAGAGGAAAAAAGGATGTATGTTTTCCGTGATGACGTTGAGTTGAATCCTATAGTAAAACAGTACTCTTCAACAAGATAACAGAAAACAGGCTTCCTGAGGTCCTTTCGCTTCGTTTCAATGCTTCTAATGGTGCTAATAGGTAGTGTAATGGTATAGGTATGACCGATTGGTTGTGTTTGTTGCTATTAGTGTTGTTGTTCTTGGAGTGACAGATCCAGAGGGGAAGCGCTTCGGTTTTCGGCTTCCCGTGAAAAAGTTGCAGGGAACGTGGCACTCATCGAGATTGGCTATCAGCAATGCTTTGAGAACTTGAGAGTTATGAAGAAAGAGTTGAAGGAAAACAGCATGGCATTGATGGTGGAGAATGCCAAGAAAGGAGATGACCGCAATGAGATTGCTATTATCTTTTGGAAAGCGCAGGTTGAAGACAATGAGAAGGGAATCCATCGCTTGAACAAACGATTGGCTGAGCTGGAGAAAAGCAAGCCAAAAGCAAATTCAGTAAGACGTCACATGAGCTACTGTTTGGCCACTGCAACATCCCTTCAACTAACATCTTATTTCTTTCTATCTTACTCTCAAGAAGTAGGCTTCGGTCTTGTGAATTCACCGGTTGCTATTATTTCGTGCAACTTATCTCTTGGCAACACATCATATATCTTTTTGTGATGTTCCTCTTCTTGTCTTCTGAAGTTCCAGTCTATGTCGTCGAAGTGCTCTCCACCATGCAGCAGTTGTTCTGGCGAAGTGTCGTTGCGTGTTGTCCTACCTCCTTGGTATGTTTGCTCATTAACTTCCAAGGGAATGCCACCGTTTTCTTCGATTTCAAACTCATTTTGCAACAAGCTCTCTGCTATCTCTTCCTCAGTCCCAAGTCCAAGCCGTCGGTGAATACAGTAATGGTGCAACCGGCACAAGCACAATGCAAGTGCTGTTGACTTGGGAAGTCCCATTGTAGCTGGCAAAGCTCTCCTTAGGATACCCCACCGCTGAACCAAAATGCCAAAAGCACATTCAATCTTGATGCGTACCTGCGAGTGATAAAAGTTGTAAGCATCTTTGCTTCCAGCACCAATGTTCTTGAAAGGAGTTGACATGTACCCTGTATCGACATAAGCGTTGTTCCCAAACAGACACAGTTCCGGTGCCAGCAATGGTCGGCGTTGATCTTCAAGCATAAAGTAAAGGGGAGATATCATGAAAGCAAGATAGTCACTACATGCCGCAGGATGCATGATGGACACATCCAAGAATCTTGCTTCGTGATCGCAAACAGCTTGTAAGTTAAGCCCAAACTTGTGCTTCCTAGCACAATGAAATCTCTTCGATGGACAGTTTGCGTCCTCACAATCCTTAACTATTGGTTGCTCCGTCCACAGAAGCATGCAATCAATGGCACCACAGCAACAGTCGAAATCTGCCTTACTCCTTCCTTTGAAGCCTCGTGCAATGGCCCTCTGTTTGGTGAAGCAGCGAGGAAAAGCAATAGCAAGCTCTGCTTTCCTTTTTGACTTACATCTAAGAAGCGCATAATGGGGTCTCGCGAAAACAGCGAGGTCTGGAAGGTACCGAACGACATGCGTCCCTAGGCGATTGGTGACGTCATTGCTCCCGGATTTGGATGGTGTTTGTTTTTGTGGAACATGTACTGGGTTCTCCATTGGGTGTGGCAGTATGCACCGTTTTGGAACCTGCATGCATCCTAAATTCCCAACCCCATAGGTACCGACCAATTTTGTGGTCCCGTTTTTGTCCCCTATGCCATACCAATGAACATGGAAACTACATACAGAATCCGGTACAGAGCGGTTTGGGGTTAGCTTTTGGTAACCACACTCACATTTTTTAAGGTCGTGTAGACTTTGCCAAGGTATTACAGTTCCTTTATACGGGCTAGCGATCGGCAATTCACTACTAGTACTACTAGATAGCTACTACTACTAGTTTTATCATGGGTTATTGGTATGCGACTACTGTAAAGCTTGTTTGAAAGCAAGAGGGCACAAGTGCTCACACCAACCAATCTCGGAGTTGCATTGCAGCAAGGCAGATTTCACTTGGCATTGGCAAAGCAACAAGAAGTACTAGTACTAGGGGAAAAAGGGACATGACTACTGCAGGGCTTGTGCCACTGACACTGGAAGACCCG